GGTGGCAGACCCACAGGGCGTTCCGTCGGGGTGGCTCGGCGCGGTGTTGTAGAGGCGGCTTCCAGCGACGCGGCGGCTGGTCGCGCCCCTGGTCTCTCTGCTCCTGCCAGCCCCCGGATCGCCGCGTACACCTCCCGCAGTGATGGCTCTGGCTCGGATGTCGGGAGTCCGTTCCCAGCTGCCCCACAGGCAGCCTGCGGCGATGGTGCAGGTTCGGCGGTTGGTGTCGCTGGACCCAGTAGCGCCACGGCAACGGCTCAGCTGTTCCCCCCCGCCGCACCCGCCACCTGGCCCATGGGTGGTGCCCGGCCCATGACCTGTTCAGCCCACAGCAAGGTGTGTTCCCCCGGCGTCACCACGGGCATTACAACGCCAGCACGGCAAGCGTAGGCGATGAGGTGCTCGACCACGAGGTCCTCGAGCACTTTTTCAGCCAGGCGAGGGAAAGCCCTCCTCGCCAACACGAGCAGTGCACCCCTGTAGGCTAAAGGGGATTCTCTAGCCCCTCGCTGGCGGTCCTGGAATCGTTTAAAGGCTCCTTCAGCTGGGCAGATCTTCCCCAAAGCCTCGTAGGCCGCCTGTAGCGTGGTCTTGCTGTCGTCCAGAACAGATTAAACGCTCATAATGCCTCTTCGTCTGACCACTCGAGAGCGTGGAAGGCAGCCTCCAATTGGCAGACAAACGCCTCCCAATCTCCTCCCTCGGCCACGAACTTGTCGACGGGCCCCAGTCGACGCGCCCGTCCTGCCACCTGCTCTCCGTGTTGGGTGTTTAGCCCTGGGGGTTTTGGCGGGAGCGACGGAGGCTAGCATGACGAGGTTGGTTGCGGCTCCTGCCCGGCTGGCTGGTCGGCCTCCGGGTCCCGTGGCCTCTCCTCCCGTGGTACGCGTGGGGGTGGGGGTCCCGGTGCCGGTGGGCCCCCCATAGGGAGCCTCTGCAGTAGCTCCTGGAGTGCCCTCTCCACGCGGGCCATGCGGTCCTCCATAGGGTCCTCCAGGCAATCCGGGCTCCCTGCTGCTAATTCTGGTAGAAGGCCCCCTTGTTGCCCAGGATGGGAAGGATCCCCGGCCCCTGCTTCCTCTTGCCTTGGCTCTTTTCCGCGGGGATTCTTCTTCGTAGCCATTGTAAATCCCACCGCTGCCACCAGATGTAAAGGAGAGCCGACACAATATTGCAGGGGGTTCGTCTTTTAATCCTTTTCTCCCATCCACACCTGTCCCCAGCCGTCCCAATCTCGTTCCTGCCAAAGGCCCCTTCTTCCCGCCCATTCTCCCCTTATATCTCCTCGATTACCCCCTCCCACTAAACCCTCCTATTGGTGGGAATCCTTCCCCTGACACCCCTACAATAGTTTAGTAATAGGTGTGCTACTTAGTGGTCTCTGTGGCCTCCCTCTCATCTCTGGTATAACACCACCCTCGCTCTACTCCCAACTCGCAGTCGTTCTTCTCCGTGGAAATTTTTGGGGTTTGGATCGCCGCCCGAGCACAACGTTGTGTCGTGCACCTCTTCTCCACCCGGCACAGTGAATGTGATTGTGTTGTGACGTCGCGAACAAACGTGGCCACTTGGACTGCTTCAGCAGCAGCACATCACCGCTGTGTTGTTGTACAGTCACACCACTGTGTTCATTCCCTTCTCTGGTATGCAAGAGGTCGTGGGTTCAACCCCGACACCGACGCCCGCTGCTGTCTGTGAAGTTTGCGCTGGCCGCTCTGCGTCGCTGGGCCGGCGCTCGGCAAGCGCTGCAAGTGTCGGGGGGAGACTCTCGGCAGGCACCTGGGACAAAAGCCCCTGGGCAGATATGAGTTCTGTATTAAGACTCGGACACGCTTAGTAAGCGAGTCATCTTCAGGGACACAAAGCCCTGAGTTCTGTATTAAGACTCGGACACGCTTGGTCAGGGAGTCATCTTCAGGGACACAAAGCCCTGGGAAATGTTTAACTGGTAAAGAACGTGCTCGCCCAAACCCCATTACATGACCAAATTTCTTCCCCTTCTTGAAACGAGTAGTGGAGTTTAAGAGCCTGCTACTATCTAGATTTGAAGTTTTCGTGACTGCAGGGATCATACTCTTTGGTTCTTTCGGTAAAGTCACGTAGGTATAAAATAAAATAAATTACGTTTCTATTGCAAAACAAGCAATCATTTTCTCACCTGGTGATTGCTTGTGTTGCAATCGAAACGTCGTGATTTAATTTATTTTATACCTATGTGACTTTACCGAAATAACCAAAGAGTATGGCCTTCTACTAGTTTTTAAAGCTTTGCATGGGCTGGCATCACCATATATTCATGAGTTAATTCATCCGTACACCCCCTCAAGGTCGTTAAGATCTGCAGACTCGACCCTACTGCGCAAATCTCGGTCACGTTCCTGGGGTGAGCGGCCACTTCCTGCGTCTGTGCCATGGCCGTGGAATTCCCTGCTGCTGGAAATTCGTTAATCCGACAAATGTGGATATATTTAAGTCTTGTCTTAAAACTATGTCTCCTGAAGTCCGTTTATTCTTTTTAGCTTCTCCGTCTCTCTTCACCTTTCCTTTATCCTTATTCTTACAAGGCGCCTTGAGATATGCGTGGAAGGCGCCTTACAGATCAATGTTAATCTTCTATCTATATGTATAAAAGTAAAAAAATGTTTGTCGGTTTGTGGCTTTGTGTGTTCGCGCGCTTGCAAAGGATTTGGGTGTCCAACGGTGGGGTTTACGTTAAATACAAATAGCCAGGTACCACGCCGTAAGCCCCGCCCCCGTGAGCAAGCGCCATTCCTTTTTCACATCCTTAAACATTTAATAAGTTAAATGAGTGATTTAGTGCAATTTTTTTGCACTGTCTTTTTATTTATTTATTACGCGTGCACGGCCAGACCAAGTCACGCGCCTTTGGTCGGGGGACGGCCCATGCAAAGTCACACGCCTTCGGTGGGAGTGAGAGGGACATTTTCTTTCGCATTAAAAATGCTTTAAAAATACACTAAACGTGGAGCTTAAAGCTTCACTGTGTGATGTCCCCCCCCACGCCGATGCGTGCAGTTACTAATATATACAGTCGCTAGATGCTACCACTATAGGCCGTAGATATTACTGCAGAGCAGCCGAGGAGATCGTGGCTGGGGGGGGGGGGGGGTAGCAGCCCAGCCTGCCAAGGTGCCACCTCGGCCGGTTGGACAATCTAGGTGAGGCCAGAGGCTCTGCATGGGACTAGGCCTCACCACGTCACTCTGTCACATAAGTACTTTGTGCTAGAGTCGATAAATACTGCTATGGAGTCAGCATGTACTACTGTAGTTATAGCAGGTACCACCACAGTCGGTATGCACTGCTATAATCATAGCAGGTACCACCAGAGTCAGTACGCACTGCTGTTAGATTTTTTATATTTTTTTAAAAAATTGGCCAGAGCAACGCAAGGTGTAAAAGCTAGTTATTATTAAAAGGGGCAGAGAGCAAGGAGAGGGGAGTTCTTGTTGCGGAGGGCTGCAGCCGCGGTGAGTTACCTGGCCGTATGACCGGGGACGTTGCCCGTGGGTCATCTAATGAACACCTTTACTGAACATGGCGGCGGTGTGGGCTGAATATTTCCACGAGCGACAAACGAGGGTGTCCGAGCGTCCACGCATGCGGTTTTATTTCTCGAGCGTCATGAGAGAGAGCCGTGTCTTCGCGGCATCGAGCCCGGCGATGGGCACGCCCCTCTCCCGGTCGCAGAGTCAGGTCGCCGCGTCAAGGGGCCCACCCGACCGGCATAAATAATGACAAGCTTGCTCACTTGTTAAATACCAACAACCGTGATGAGCACGGCGCCAGGGAATCGGGCCAGACCTCCCCCCCGCCCCGCCTCGTACAAACACAACCGCGCGGATGCATCTCACGTGCCCCTTTTCCAATGGCACACCTGAGCCAGAGTGGTGCCAGCACAGTACAGATGGTGGTTTTCCCCTTGGTCACACCCGAGCCAGTGCAGGGCCAGCACGGTACAAGTGGTGGTTTGCCCACTGGTGCATCCGAGCCATGCCAGAACTGAACCGCGACAATTACGCCGCTGCTACTGTAGCTGCTACCACCCTTAGAATAAATCCCAGTTCGGCTGGGGGCAAAGCAGGGTCAGGAAGGGGGGGGGGCTGGGCTAACGACTCGGCGCACCGAGTCACGACATCGACTGGCCTCCGCAGTGGAAAAACTACGGCTAGCGCCCCCCTGTCCCCCTGGCCATGCTGGGTGGCCGGCTTGGCTACGGCTCGGTTGTGGCGTGGGAAAAAAGGATCTCCATGACGGAGAGTACAAAACAGAAGATTTGCAAAGACAAAGATCCCCCGTATAGCCTTAACAGAATGTTGGGGTAGGTGTTGTTAGCAAGTAGTACCTATGAAGGCCGGTACTCTGATACACAAGGGGGTAGGTGGCCAGCACCATGCCGGACCACCTTTGTCTCCCCAGTAGCGATGTTTACACACCACACCAGGTACTCATTTGAGGCTGAGTCGACCTAGGGGAGGCCCAGGATCAGTTCAGATAATCGTCACTGGTGTTGGCCGTGAGCGGAAATCGAACTCGGGTCGCCGGGTTTGTAGCACAGGGTAGCGCTAACCACGACACTACCTCTCCACACTCAGGTAGTTGCGTTCCTGAAGAACACCGCATTATAATTAATAATAATAAACGATATAGGCGGGTAAAGCAGAGTCCACGATAACGCGGGAGATGATGGCGTAACGCAGGGCCCGAACAAAGACCGAGGCGTGTGGTGGCAGGTAGCGTCCATAAGCTGCATCCAGCAGCATCCTAATGCCTCTTGCGATGATGATGCTATGCCGAGGCAGCAGCCGTACATACCACCGCTTTATTCTTACTCGCACTGCAACGTAGTTCCATTCACGCGATCATATTACGTATTCAATTGGCATCCGCGTTATATAAAAAAAAATTCTTTCCCTGAATACATTCATCGCGTTGTATCATCCAATTCACTTGAAGGAAGCCACGCGCAATAGCAGAACTGACTGTACTGGGTGTTTATTTTTTAGCCTAGGGGGCACCCCCAGTGGCAGCTGCTTCTGTGCGGCACAGAGGCAACTGTTTCCCCGAGGATTTGAGAGCGAGAATTCGCAGCCAGTAGGGAGGCATCTGTCAGGCTGTCCCAATGATGTGATCGTAAATTGTAATATCGTAAAAAAATGTACAAGAGACTCCTACTTACGAACTTTCAGAGATACGAACAAACCTGTCCGTATGTCCAGTTGCCCGTTCGGACCGAGAGTCGTAAGTTCCACCACCGCGCAATAAATGGTGGTGGTGGCATTTACATCTGCAGAACTTAAAGAACCAGTGGTATCTACATCTGCAAAACATGAAGAACCATTGGTTTCTACATCTGCAGAACATGAAGAACCAGTGGTATCTACATCTGCAGAACATGAATCACCAGTGATATCTACATCTGTAGAACATGACAAACCATTGGTATCTATATCTACCGAACATGAAGAACCAGTGGTATCTACATCTGCAAAACATGAAGAACCATTGGTTTCTACATCTGCAGAACATGAAGAACCAGTGGTATCTACATCTGCAGAACATGAAGAACCAGTGGTATCTACATCTGCAGAACATGAAGAACCAGTGGCATCTACATCTACAGGAGATTATACAACTATTAAAGCCATTCCCCGTGTTTAGTGTACATGTCGTACACCATGTTTGGAATCGACATGATTAAAGTTGGACTCACAAACAAATCGACTTACAAACAGACCTCTGGAACCCAACTCGTTCGTAAATATATGAGTCTCTATATTTCACATTTGGCAGATGTGGATAATCTCAAGCTTCAACTTCATTATTGTGTCACACAGGTTGAGGGAGCTCCGGAGACCAGGGTATGAGTCTCACTTGCAAGAGTGATCTGGGAAACAAGTCTACAGCGCGTAGGAAGGAGAGGGGAATGGGGAAGGGGGAAGGCGGGGGAGCGGGTGCGACGATGGCTGCTGTGTGTGATCCATGGTCGGGTGATTTGCCGCATGATTTTCCAAGGAAATGTTTGTACGTTTCTTTGGTGAGGATGTTCTCATTTTTCTTTTCCGTGGACTCGCCCTGCAGTAGCCGCGCGGAACACCAGGGGTCAACAGACCCCCTGCAGTCGCCTCACAGAGCACCACTATCTCTGATTGGCTGCATGTCTCAAATCTGATTGGCTGCGTGTCTTGTATCTGATTGGCTGCATGTCTTGTATCTGATTGGCTGCACGTCTTGTATCTGATTGGCTGCACGTCTTGTATCTGATTGGCTGCACGTCTTGTATCTGATTGGCTGCACGTCTTGTATCTGATTGGCTGCACGTCTTGTATCTGATTGGCTGCACGTCTTGTATCTGATTGGCTGCACGTCTTGTATCTGATTGGCTGCACGTCTTGTATCTGATTGGGCTGCACGTCTTGTATCTGATTGGCTGCACGTCTTGTATCTGATTGGCTGCACGTCTTGTATCTGATTGGCTGCACGTCTTGTATCTGATTGGCTGCACGTCTTGTATCTGATTGGCTGCACGTCTTGTATCTGATTGGCTGTGTGTCTCGAATATGATTGGCTGTGTGTCTTGTATCCGATTGGCTGTGTGTCTCAAATATGATTGGCTGTACGTCTTGTATCTGATTGGCTGTGTGTCTTGTATCTGATTGGCTGCATGTCTCGAATATGATTGGCTGTGTGTCTTGTATCCGATTGGCTGTGTCTCGAATATGATTGGCTGTACGTCTTGTATCTGATTGGCTGTGTGTGTCGGACCCCGCTCGTCTCCGATTGGCTCATCCTCGTCCGCGTGCCGTGTGCAGCGACGACGATGACGACGAGGGTGGCGGTGAGGAGGGTGGTGGTGAGGAGGATGCTGAGGAGGGTGGTGAGGAGGAGGGTGTGGTCCGCGTCTTCGCGTGGAGCAGCCGCGTGTTGGTCACCTCGCAGTCGATCTGCATCATCGACTCTCCCACATCCTCCTGGACCACCGAGTCTACGTCACAACAACAACAATCGCCGTCGTCGTCATCATGTTGTATATATAGGCCTTTTTCCATTATTTCATATTAAGAATAATTCGGCCAATATTTTTTGTTATATTAAATAAATGGAGCCAACACTCTGCTACCCCTCACAAGCCGCACCAAGCATCTGGAGGTCGTAAAAGGCCATTAAATAATAAACTCCGGAGCAAAGGAAGGCTAACGACTATCTGCAAAATCTCCAGATTGTCAAAGGACCGCATGCCATGACCTCGCCACACAAACAGAGCCATAAAAAAACACGCGCACATAGTAGAGACAAACGGACGTTACAACTCGGGTTTTCTTTAACGGTAAAAGTTTGAAACTCAGCAAAAGAACAAATCGACGTTATAGACTGCAGTCTATATTAGTTGTTTTATTATTACTTATTTTATTTCACCCTTATTAAACTCATATATTATTTTGTATTGTATCTTTCTATCCATGTGAATTCTGGCAGTCAAGAAAGTGAGGGCTTGGTTATATCTCCAGCCTCGGGATATCAAATATAACTCCAAAATAAAACACCGATCCCTGGCGACAAAGACATATAACAAAGCTTGGCAAAACCCTCGGAATAATGGTGGTAACGAGGGGCATTACGAATCTTGGTTAAACATGAACCCAATAATAACCACGAGATATTAGACCGGGGGTAACTCATAAGAGATACAAGAAATAGGTTCAACACACACAAGACCAGATAATATGTATTCATGGAATCAAATCCTCCCCGGCCACTTTTGTCTTCCAACAATTTGACACAAACACATGGTACACATACGTAAGAAGGGTGTCTGGCCTCGAGATAACAAACACTATGAAGGGGGGGGGGGATGCAAACAAGCATAAATTTCGACGGAAAACAGCCCGCCCGGGGTCATGAACGGGACGAGGGCGGGGCAATCAGGCGCGGCCACGGAGAGAGGACGGTGATAGAGGGCATCTGTTTTTTTTCATCTCTCGCAAGAGACGCGCAGAGAGGGGAGAGAATTTCGGATATAACCAACGACGCAGATCATGCAACCAGTTCTACGACAAGCAACATAGTCTTGTAAAGTAGCAGGCTGCGGGGCTTGGCCTCGATTTTAGCAATGGGTGTGGTGTCTCACAGAGAAGAGGGGCGAGGTGATGCTCGGTGCTGAGTTCGGCATGGACCGACAGAGTATCGCTGAAAGTTTTATTCTACATTTATCCTGATGTTTTGAGTCGCTTGCAAAGTCAAGGATTGCGACAAGTTGTATTGTACTAAGCTTTCACAGTTGTTTAAAAGGTGTGCGAATACAATTCAAAAATTTTGAGAGCGAGTGCCAGCTCCCACGAGCAGCTGCGATTGGCAGGCTCCGGGAACCTGCCCCCGTGACTGGCACATCGTCAACGAGCTGCAACAGCAGAAGCCACGAGTCTACGAAGTCAACGCAAAGAGTTTAGCACTGCAAGCGACAGACAAGGATGGCGAGGCTTGCCGAGTAGCGATGGGTCAACGAGTACGAGTTCAGTGCTGACAGAAGAAGTATCGCTCAAAGTTATTCTACACTGAGTGCCAGCTCCCACGGGCAGCTGCAGCTCGAGTTGATCTGACAAGCAACGTCAAGCAATCAACCTCGAGAAAGAGCAGAAAGCACCAAGCATCGACTAAGCCAGCACGCAGCAGCGCCACTGAGCACCACTGAGCAAAGTCAGCTGGCAGCGGACAAGCTACAAGCGTCGTGCCGACTCAGCTCATCCAGCAGGAGAAAGAGCCTGAGCCAGCGCAGCCCTGAAGTAAGGGCAGGTGTCCATGTGAAGCTGGCAGCTGCACGATCAAGGAGAGAGCACGGAGCAGTGGAAAGAGCCTGACCAGCCGCCCATGAGCAAGAGTGTTCGCGCCAGCGAGAGTGCCGTGGGTTCGACCCACACACACACCGACAATCACCAGCTGGGAACCAAGGCAAGAGTGAGGAGCGGCGACCAGCAGACGAGAGCTGCGCACGTTATCTGACGACGGAATCATCGCGCACCACGACGGCAAGCGTCATGCCGACTCGTCATCCAGCAGCGAACAAACAGCTGCAGACGACGCCCAAAGCGAGACGGGGACGAACGAAGCCGTTTGTATGACACGCCCACCCTCACACGCTCACTGCTCTGCAGGGAACAAACTAAATTTTTGGTACAAGGAATGCCCAACCTCGGCGTCTGCTTTACGCAAAAAATTGATCAAAGAAGACACACGCACACAACACGCATATCGGGACTAATAAGATTGTTCCAAAAAGTTATCTTTGTGTTTCAAGAAGGGTTGGCATTCCAAGGTGGTGCGTTAAATATAAACTGATCATGAAAAGCATTACTGCCCATTGAGTTACGTGGATACGGTCGTTTAGAAGTATTTTAGGCATTCGTTTTCGTTAATTGCATAATCTTGCCAATGAATTAATTGACGTATACTTTTGCCTTCGGGAATGTTTTTTAATTGCCGTGACTTTAAACAATAACAACGGTAGGAGGCTGCTAGATATTTGTGCAGCCCATTGGCTTGTAATTACCAACATGCTGTTCCGGCATCGGCGCATCCACACAACATCATGGATGCATGCTGGGTCCAAGCAAGAACATCTGCTGGACTACATAGTGACGGACCAGCGGATGCGAGCCCATGTCCTTGACACCAGGACCTACCGTGGAGCTGATCTGCCCTCTGACCATCGACTAGTCATCTGTAAGATGCGCCTGCCATTCTTCCACTCCGGTGGTGGGTGTACACCCAGGACCCCATTCCAACCTAAGGTGTTCTGGTCTCCGTTAGCTGATGAAAGTTGCAATCGAGAATTTTATCATCGCTTGCAGCTGGGGTTGGCATCCCCCAACTCCTCCTGATGTCGAGGGTAAATGGGCGAGGTTTAGGACTGTAACTCATGCAGCTGCAATGGCTGCTTTGGGTACGCGGTCCAGACCTCCCCAGAGACCCTGGCTGACGGAGGAAGTGTTCAGGATGGTTGAGAAAAAGCGACAGGCCCACTCTAATCGTCTACAGCATCCCACGTCAGAGAATGAGGAGGCTTACCGCAGACTTCGCTCGGAGGTTCGGAGAGCCATGAGGCGCTGCAAGGATGGGTGGTGTTCGCGGGTTGCTGAGGAGATGGAGTCTGCCTCAGTGGCCAGCGGTCACAAATCACTATTTAACTCCATCAAAAAAGTAACCTGCAGCGCTACACCTATTTCCATCATTAGGGGAAAAAACGGTGATCCAATCTCCGACCTCCAGAAACAGGTTTGCAGATTTGCTGAGCATTTCTGTGAGGTCCTGGCGGAGGGGAAATCCCTCAGCCAGGAAAACAACGTGGAACAAAGTGGGGACGACCCTGCTGAGGCTGCGGTTCCTCAAATATTGGAGGAAGAAGTCACCCCCTGTGAGTGGCTGGCTGAGATGCCATCTGTTGAGGAAGTACTGAAGGCGATCCGGAATCTGAGACCAGGAAAGGCACCGGGCAGAGATGATCTCACAAGCGAAATGCTGACGGAGGGTGGCGTTTGTGCACAGACTGCCCTACATGACATAATAACAACAGTCTGGACCACTGGACGGGTTCCGCAGGATTGGAAGGATGCCCTAGTGGTCCCCCTATTTAAGAAGGGGGACCGCACAGACTGTAACAACTACAGGGGCATCTCACTCCTCAGTGTGCCGGGAAAGGTCCTGGCAAGGATTATTCAACATCGCCTTGCTACGCACGCTGAGGAAAGGCTTGCGGAGCCCCAATGCGGCTTCAGGAAAGGGCGGTCCTGTACAGATGCCATATTTTCTGTCAGTCTGCTACAGCAGAGGTGTAAGGAATTCCAACAAGACCTACATCTCTGCTTTATTGACCTGGTCAAGGCCTATGATACCATCAGTAGGCCTGGGCTCTGGGTTGTTATTCGTGCTTTCGGAGTCCCTGACCCTCTGCTCACGATCATTAGGGACCTTCATGATGGTTGTTGTTGTGTGACCGTGCGTGTGACCGTGCGTGTGACCGTGCGAGCATCACCGTTGTGCTGGGCCATGGCGGGCATGAGGAGCGACATGCGTGGCCTCCGTGTGTGGTTGTGAGCGCGGGCCGGGAGAAGCAGGTGGTCCTGGACACAACATGACAACAACAACACGATTGTGAGCACAACACAACAACTCGACAACAACACAAGCACAATACAACATTACAACACGACAACAACACAACAAGCACAACACAACAACTGCAACACGACAACACAATAACACAACATTACAACACGACAACAATGCAATGGAACGTGATGTAAAGAAACACAATGACACTGTATGGATGGGTGAGTGTACGACAATGCGACTATGCTATAGTGACTGTACGACTGTACGCCAGTCGAACAACATGACTGTACGACTGTACGCCAGTAGGATGGGGTGACTATCACTGTCCACCAGTAAAGAGGCTCGACCGCACAACCGAACGTCTTGTGTGACTGTAGCCACAGCAGCATCAGCGTGGTCCCCGTGCCGCTGTTCGGGAGGTTCACCCGTCGGAAGGAGACCACGTAGAAGGTGTCGTCCCGGCGTCCAATCAGCTCCAGGAAGTCCCAGGATTGGCGCCAGCGCCACTCGCCCGGCACCTGCAGCTGGCTGGACAGCGCCCTGGGCAAGCCACGAGATACCAAGGCCACGCTGGTGGCCTCTGTGTGCAAGGGCCCTCCCTCCACTGAGCTATCACAAATGATGTATGTGTGTGTGTGTACGTGTTAGTGTGTGTGTGAATGTGTGTACGTGTTAGTGTGTGTGTGACTGTGTGTACGTGTTAGTGTGTGTGTGAATGTGTGTACGTGTTAGTGTGTGTGTGAATGTGTGTACGTGTTAGTGTGTGTGTGAATGTGTGTACGTGTTAGTGTGTGTGTGAATGTGTGTACGTGTTAGTGTGTGTGTGACTGTGTGTACGTGTTAGTGTGTGTGTGAATGTATGTAAGTGTTAGTGTGTGTGTGACTGTGTACGTGTTAGTGTGTGTGGATGTGTGTACGTGTGTGTGTGGAGAGTGGTGGTGTAGCGGCAAAGACCCGAGTTCGATTCCCACTCACGACCAACACCAGTGATGATCATTTGAACTGGTCCTGGGCCTCTCCTTGGTCTACTCGGTCTCAAATAAGTACCTGGTGTGATGTGCAAACATCGCCACTAGGGAGACAAAGGTGGCCACCCACCCCCTCGGTGTGCCGTGCCGGCCTTCATAGGTGCTACTCACTAACAGCACTTGCCCAACAGTCTGTATGGCTGTATGGGGATCTTTGTGTTGAACTTCTGCAGGAGGAGGCTCATGACGCGGCTACTGGGCAGTTGGAGGCAGTCAGCCTCCAGCAACAGCGGAGGGCAGAAGAGCGACGCTCACAACGAGCGGAGCGCCGGGCAGATAATAAGCAGCAAGCTGCCACAGTAGGGGGTACAGCTGGTGTGCATCTACCAGTCATCTCAGTCAGTCAACCCATGGCACCTGCAGGGTCTGTTCGATGAGCTCATTCCAGAGAACCTTCAACACTTCACGTGACCTCAAAGTGCACCTGGCCCGGCACAGGCGCATTGGTGACGTCACCGCCACTTAGTAGCGAATGGCAGTTATTGGTAATATTGGTTGAACTTTCGCACCATGTGTAGCCAACCGCGCTCATCGGAGGGTGGGTCAGTGAGTACGTGAGTCTGCATGTGTTTTTCTCCATGTTGAACTTCTTTCGCACCGTAAGTAGCCAACTGTGCTAACTGGAGGTGCAGGGGAAGGATAACAAACTAAACAAAAACAAGTTCTAAAGAAATGAGTTTTCGATCTCGTTGATTATTTAAAAGTGCACAGCTCCAGTGGCTTCCTAATATCGGAAGGGAGATAAGCTCAACCAAGTGGCTTGTCATCATGTGGACATTTATAGCAGCAACCAAATACTCTAAAACCGAAGGACCTGGAGAACAATCCACGCGACCACAGGGAGAGAGAGACGCAGACTCCAAATATACATCAGCAGGCATCGTCGGGGCCGGGATCGAACCCACAACCTCCTGCAGACCAGGCGAGGTAGTTAACATCTCCTAGCCACCGTGATGATGAGAGCGAGACGCAGACTCCAAAGATACAGCAGCAGCAGGCATCGTCAGGGTCGGGATCAATCCCAAAACCTTCTGCATACCAGGCGAGGGAGGTAACATGTCCTCACTGCTCTCGGTTGGTAGGGAGTGTGGGAGGAGGTTGGTAGGTTGGTAGAGGGGTAGAGGGGTAACAGGGTAGAGGTAGGCTGGTAGGGGGTAGGCTTGTATATTGGTAAGGAGAGTAAGTAGGTATGTAGGTAGTATGTAGTATGTAAGTAGTATGTACTATGTATGTGTAGTGCCGTAGATGGGCCACACTTACCGGCAGTGGTGGATAGGGCCCATCTGCAGGTACCTTGGACCCCCAGGGGAGGGGCCACTGTGCCAGCCCAAGAGGGGGGGGGGGGCTGCTGGGGGCTCTAGGATCCTAGGCAGCTAAGCCCTCTGCGCCGGGCCTCAGGATCCCAGACAAGCCAGACAGCTGAGCCCCTTGGGGCCACCAGCGGGGGGCTGCGGGGGATCTGGGATCCCACGCAACCCCACCCCTCGATGGGCAAGAGGGATAAAAGGGCCGCTCCCCAGCCGATTGGGGGCCAGTCGCAGCTCAAGACCCAAGACAAGCCAGCTGAGGACCCTGGACCCCCTCGCCCCGCTTGTCCTTGTAAGGGCCGGGACGCTGTGCGGGCCAGTGGTGGGACTCCCGGCTCTACGTCCTTGTAAGGGCGAGTTCCGAGGAAGCCAGAGTCTAGACCCGCACCTTGGCTGGGTCGGGTCAGGTAGCCTCCCCTAGGGTAATTGTAGCCGGAGGACCCCATAGCGTAGCCAGTGTCAGGCACGCTAGGATAAGGCTGTGTCCCTAGGCTGTGTCCCTAGGCTGTATCCCTAGGCTGTAACAGAGTATAAGGACTTTTGGAGTGTTGTATCGTAATAAAGAAATTACCTCTACAAGTGTCTCTGGAACCCATTACATATGTAAGTAGTATGTAGGTAGTATGTAGGTAGTATGTAGTATGTATGCAAGTAGTATGTAGATAGTATGTCGTATGTATGTAGGGGTACCTCTCTGCGCTGTTGTCGGTGGGGGCCGTGGGGGGGATGAGTGGGGGGGAGCGGCGCTGAGACCTCCTCTGCGGGGACACGGACAGTGGCGCGCACACACAGCGAGTGACCCCCTGTCAGAGTGCGTGTGAGTGAGTGAGAGTGATTGTGTGTGTGAGTGTGTGAGCGTGTGTGAGTGTGTGTGTGAGCGTGTGAGTGAGTGAGAGTGAGTGCGTGTGAGTCAGTGCGTGTGAGTCAGTGCATGTGAGTGAGTGCGTGTGAGTGAGTGCGTGTGAGTGAGTGCGTGTGAGTGAGTGCGTGTGAGTATGTGCGAGTGAGTGCGTGCGAGTGTGTGCGTGAGTGCGTGTGAGTGAGAGCGAGTGAGTGCGTGTGTGCGAGTGAGTGCAAGTGCGAGTGAGTGCGTGTGAGTGCGTGTGAGTGAGTGCGTGTGAGTGTGTGTGTGAGTGAGTTTGTGAGTGAGAGTGTGTGTGAGTTGCGTGTGAGTCAGTGCGTGTGAGTGATTGTGAGTGTGTGTGAGTGAGTGCATGTGAGTCAGTGCGTGTGAATGAGTGCGTGAGTGAGTGCGTGTGAGTGAGTGTGTGTGAGTGAGTGAGTCTGGCAAAACAACCTCCTACCTCCTCGCGGTGCCGGACGGGCAACACTGTCGTGGGCAGTGCTGTGGGGGGAGGGCCAATGCCCATTGGCCTCTCCCCTCATGGCATCTGTGCCCACCACAGTGGCTAAACGGGGGCTCTGGACGGGTGCGAGGGGCTGGTAACCCCTCCACCTTCAATTAACCACCACTAAACTACGAATTAAACATAAACCTGTAACTAATAAGCTTGTGCCGGAGGCCCCGGGGGGTCAGGCTTTTATGACGTCTCCTGGCCAAACCCCATTTGGCGGAGCCAGGAGATTGAATTTTCACCCTCGGGGCTCCTCCAGAAACAACAAAAAACCATTGCGGATGGCCACGTGGAATGTTCGAACGCTCACTGCGGAGGAGAGGCTGCCACTCCTTTGTCGGGAGCTGGACCGGTACTGCCTGGATCTCTGTGGCATTCAGGAGGTCCGGTGGACCGGTTCTGGTTCCTGCCACCATGAGGGGTGGACAGTCCTCCACTCGGGGCAGGAGACTGCCAAACAACAGTGTGTGGCTCTTCTTCGGAACAAAAGAATGAAGGGGGCGTGGGAGCGTGGCGGTGAGGTGTGGGAAGCTGTAAGCCCCAGGATACTTTGGGCTCGCCTTCCCATCAATCGGAGGCGAGGAGTGGTGGTCGTGGTTACTTATGCCCCCACCGAAGACGAACATCCATGGAGGGATGCAGGCAAAGCCGATGAGTCAGATGCCTTCTATGACCTCCTGTCACAGGTGCTGGCTAAAGTGGCCACTCGGGACAGAGTCATCTTGTTGGGTGACTTCAATGCCCGAGTTGGTCATGATGCTGGCACCTGGTCTGGAGTGATTGGAAGGCATGGGCCAGATCAGCTCAATAACAACTGTAGGAGGCTGCTAGATTTTTGTGCAGCCGATGGGCCTGTAATTACCAACACGCTCTTCCGGCATCAGCGCATCCACACCACATCATGGATACATGCCGGGTCCAAGCAAGAACATCTGCTGGACTACATAGTGACAGACCAGCGGATGCGAGCCCATGTCCTTGACACCAGGACCTACCGTGGAGCTGATCTGCCCTCTGACCATCGACTCGCCATCTGTAAGATGTGCCTGCCATTCTTCCACTCCGTTGGTGGGTGTACACCCAGGACCCCATTCCAACCAAAAGTGGCCTGGTCTCAGTTAGCTGATGAAAGTTGCAAGCGAGAATTTCATCATCGCTTGCAGCTGGGGTTGGCATCGTCCCCCACTCCTACTGATGTCGAGGGTAAATGGGCGAGGTTTAGGACTGTGACTCATGTAGCTGCAATGGCTGCTTTGGGTACGCGGTCCAGACCTCCCCAGAAAGCCTGGCTGACAGAGGAGGTGTTCAGGTTAGTTGAGAAAAAGCGACAGGCCCACTCTCATCGGTTACAGCATCCCACGTCAGAGAATGAGGAGGTTTACCGCAGCCTTCGCTCGGAGGTTCGGAGAGCCGTGAGGCGCTGCAAGGATGGGTGGTGGTCGCGGGTTGCTGAGGAGATAGAGTCTGCCTCAGTGGCCAGCGATCACCAATCATTATTTAACTCCATCAAAAAAGTAACCTGCAGCGCCACACCTATCACCATCATTAGGGGAAAAACGGTGATCCAATCTCCGACCCCCAGGAACAGGTTTGCAGATTTGCTGAGCATTTCTGTGAGGTCCTGGGGGAAGGGAAATCCCTCAGCCAGGAAAACATCATGGCACAAAGTGGGGATAACCCTGCTGAGGCTGTGGTGCCTCAAATATTGGAAGAGGTCACCCCCTGTGAGTGGCTGGCTGAGGTGCCATCTGTTGAGGAAGTACTGAAGGCGATCCAGAGTCTGAGACCAGGAGACCAGGAAAGGCACTGGGCAGAGATGATCTCCCAGGCGAAATGTTGAGGGAGGGTGGCGTTTGTGCACAGACTGCCCTATATGACATCATAACAACAGTCACAACCACTAAACGGGTTCCGCAGGATTGGAAGGATACCCTGGTGGTTCCCCTCTTTAAGAAGCGGGACCGCACAGACTGTAACAACTACAGGGGCATCTCACTCCTCAGTGTGCCGGGAAAGGTCCTGGCAAGGATTATTCAACATCGCCTTGCTAGGCACGCTGAGGAGAGGCTTGCGGAGCCCCAATGCGGTTTCAGGAAAGGGCGGTACTGCACAGATGCCATATTTTCTGTCCATCTGCTACAGCAGAGGTGTAGGGAATTCCAACAAGACTTACATCTCTGCTTTATTGACCTGGTCAATGCCTATGATACCATCAGTAGGCCTGGGCTCTGGGTTGTTCTTCGTGCTTTCGGAGTCCCTGACCCTCTGCTAATGATCATTAAGGACCTTCATGATGGTGAGCGGGCCCGGGTAAAACTACGTGGCCGGGAGTCAGAGCCTTTCCCTGTACACCTTGGGGTGCGACAGGGATGTCCTCTGGCTCCCACATTATTTAACATCTATTTTGACCTCGTAGTTCGTGAAGCCTTCAATAGCTGTACCGGGGGAATTTCCATTTGGTACAGATATAATGGGAGGCTGATCGACGCCCGGGTGCGATCAAGGGATGGCTCCCTATTGGTCAACCACGTTATGCATGCCGATGATTTGGTAATAGCTGCTCATTCAGAAGAGGAGTTAGAGATGCTGCTGCTGAGACTGGAGCGTGCCACTAAGAGGTGGGGCCTTACCATCAGCCCCACCAAAACTAAGCACCTGCCTGGGTATTTTGTACCATCGGACACTTCACCCCCACAACTCCCAATTGGTGATGGGGCAGTTGTGGAGAGAGTGGAGAGTTTCCCATACCTGGGCAGTGTGCTTATGACCGGCTCCAGTTTAACAGCAGAGGTCTCACTCCGAATCAGTCGAGCAGCTATATATTTTAATTGGTTGTGTAACGCTGTGTGGAAGCTACCTGGTCTGTCGCTCCGCACGAAGCTTCAGGTCTTCTCGGCCACAGTCATTCCCTCCCTTCTCTACGCTTGCGAAACATAGACCCCCCTAATGGAGCATCTTCGCCGGTTGGAAACATTTAGGCTGGCCTGCCTACGATCCATCCTGGGTTTAACCAGGCTAGATTGTGTGAGGAGCTCACAAATCCTTAAAAGATCTGGGCAAAGTCCCATCAGTGAGCTCCTCCGGCAGGCAAGGATGCGTTGGCTGGGTAATGTAGCCCGCATGCCCAGCCAGCGCATGCCTAAACAGCTTTTGTTCGGACGGATCGAGGGGGCTAAACGGCTGCAGCACGGACTAGAAAAGGGATGGAGTGATGTGGTACAGGAGGACGTGGAGCTGAGTGGACTTGCCGATGACTGGTACCAGCGGTGTCAAGATCGGCCTCAATGGAGGAGGCTCGTGAAGGACGCTACTGGGCAGTTGGAGGCAGTTGCCCTGTTTGAAAAAGAGCTGTATAGCTCATCGGCTTCCTCCAGAATAATACATATTCTGATTCTGACAACGAAGGGCGGAGGAGCGACGCTCACAACAACGAGCGGAGCGCCGGGTGGCTAAAGCACAGCAAGTTGGTACAGTAGGGAGCACAGGTGGTGCATCAGCCAGTCATCTCAGTCATCTCGGTCAGTCGACCCGTGGCACCTGGGTCTGCCCCGTGACCTCCTGCCAGCGGGCGTTCGACACTTCAGGTGGCCTCAAGGTGCACATGGCCTGGCACAAGCGTCGTGGTGGCGTCACCGCCACTTAGTGGCGAATGGCGGTTGTTGTTGTTGTTGTGAGAGTCAGTGAGTGATCCCTGTGAGTGATCACCGGGGGGGTTGAGCGTGCCGCTGGAGTGAGCACGGTGCGATTGCGCTGCCGCTCGTGCCGCAGAATCCATCCATGCAGCTCCCCAGACAGCCTGACAGACACATGCAAAAAATATAAAGATCCCTCATGTAGCCTTCCAGACTGTAGGGGCAAGTGCTATTATAGAGCAGCACTATGAAGGCCGGCACGGCACACGAAGGGGGTGGGTGGCCAGCACCACGCCCGGCCGCCTTTGTCTCCCCAGTGGCGATGTTTACTACACAACGTACCAGGTACTCATTTGAGGCCGAGTCGACCTAGGGGAGGCCGAGGACCGGTTCGGATAATCGCTGTAACGGGTGTTGGCCGTGAGCGGGAACCGTACCTGGGTTGCCGGGTTCGTAGTGCAGCGCGTGCTCGCCACTACGCTACCGCTCCCCATAACACACACACACGTACACACACGTGCACACACGCGCACACACGTGCACACACGCGCGCGCACACGCATACGAGCACACATACATGCACACACACGTAAATACGCATACACACACACGTAAATACGCAAACATGTAAATACGCACACACACACGTAAATACGCACACACACACACACGTAAATACGCACACGAGCGAGTGGTGAGCGAGTGGTGAGCGCGTGGTGAGCGAGTGGTGAGCGGTGGGCGCGTGGTGAGCGAGTGGTGAGTGAGTGGTGAGTGGTGGGCGCGTGATGAGCGAGTGGTGAGTGAGTGGTGAGTGGTGAGCGCGTGATGAGCGAGTGGTGAGTGAGTGGTGAGTGAGTGGTGAGCGGTGGGCACGTGATGAGCAAGTAGTGAGCGAGTGGTGAGTGGTGAGCGGTGGGCACGTGGTGAGCGTGTTGTGAGCGAGTGGTGAGTGAGTGGTGAGCGGTTGGTGGGTGGTGAGCGAGTGGTGAGCGAGTGGTGAGCGAGTGGTGAGTGAGTGGTGAGTGAGTGGTGAGCGGTTGGTGGGTGGTGAGCGAGTGGTGAGTGTGTGGTGAGCGAGTGGTGAGCGGTTGGTGGGTGGTGAGCGAGTGGTGAGTGTGTGGTGAGCGAGTGGTGAGCGTGGTGAGCGGTGAGCACGTGGTGAGCGAGTGGTGAGCGAGTGGTGAGCGGTGGGCGCGTGGTGAGCGAGTGGTGAGTGTGTGGCGAGCGGTGGGCGCGTGGTGAGCGAGTGGTGAGCGGTGGGCGTGTGGTGAGCGAGTGGTGAGCGAGTGGTGAGTGTGTGGCGAGCGGTGGGCGCGTGGTGAGCGAGTGGTGAGCGGTGGGCGTGTGGTGAGCGAGTGGTGAGTGAGTGGTGAGTGTGTGGCGAGCGGTGGGCGTGTGGTGAGCGAGTGGTGAGTGAGTGGTGAGCGGTGGGCGCGTGGTGAGCGAGTGGTGAGCGAGTGGTGAGTGTGTGGCGAGCGGTGGGCGCGTGGTGAGCGAGTGGTGAGTGAGTGGTGAGCGGTGGGCGTGTGGTGAGCGAGTGGTGAGTGAGTGGTGAGTGTGGTGGCGAGCGGTGGGCGTGTGGTGAGCGAGTGGTGAGTGAGTGGTGAGCGGTGGGCGCGTGGTGAGCGAGTGGTGAGCGAGTGGTGAGCGAGTGGTGAGCGGTGGGTACGTGGTGAGCGAGTGGTGAGCGAGTGGTGAGTGAGTGGTGAGTGTGTGGCGAGCGGTGGGCGTGTGGTGAGCGAGTGGTGAGTGAGTGGTGAGCGGTGGGCGCGTGGTGAGCGAGTGGTGAGCGAGTGGTGAGTGTGTGGCGAGCGGTGGGCGCGTGGTGAGCGAGTGGTGAGCGGTGGGTACGTGGTGAGCGAGTGGTGAGCGGTGGGTACGTGGTGAGCGAGTGGTGAGTGAGTGGTGAGTGTGTGGCGAGCGGTGGGCGTGTGGTGAGCGAGTGGTGAGTGAGTGGTGAGCGGTGGGCGCGTGGTGAGCGAGTGGTCAGTGTGTGGTGAGAGAGTGGTGACCGAGTGGTGAGCGGTTGGTTAGTGGTGAGCGAGTGGTGAGCGAGTGGTGAGTGAGTGGTGAGCGAGTGGTGAGCGATTGGTGAGCGAGTGGTGAGCGAGTGGTGAGCGAGTGGTGAGTGAGTGGTGAGCGAGTGGTGAGCGAGTGGTGAGCGTGGTGAGCGGTGGGCACGTGGTGAGCGAGTGGTGAGCGAGTGGTGAGTGAGTGGGGAGTGAGTGGTGAGTGAGTGGTGAGCGTGGTGAGCGGTGGGCGCGTGGTGAGCGAGTGGTGAGCGAGTGGGGAGTGAGTGGTGAGCGAGTGGTGAGCGAGTGGTGAGTGAGTGGTGAGCGGTTGGTGAGTGGTGAGCGCGTGGTGAGCGAGTGGTGAGCGAGTGGTGAGCGGTGGGTACGTGGTGAGCGTGTTGTGAGTGAGTGGTGAGCGGTTGGTGGGTGGTGAGCGAGTGGTGAGCGAGTGATGAGTGAGTGGTGAGCGAGTGATGAGTGAGTGGTGAGCGAGTGGTGAGTGGTTGGTGGGTGGTGAGCGAGTGGTGAGCGAGTGATGAGTGAGTGGTGAGCGAGTGGTGAGTGAGTGGTGAGCGAGTGGTGAGCGAGTGGTGAGCGGTGGGCACGTGATGAGCAAGTAGTGAGCGAGTGGTGAGTGGTGAGCGGTTGGTGGGTGGTGAGCGAGTGGTGAGTGTGTGGTGAGTGGTGAGGGAGTGGTGAGCGAGTGGTGAGTGTGTGGCGAGCAGTGGGCGCGTGGTGAGCGAGTGGTGAGCGAGTGGTGAGTGGTAAACGAGTGGTGAGCGAGTGGTGAGCGAGTGGTGAGCGTGGTGAGTGGTGAGCGAGTGGTGAGCGAGTGGTGAGTGTGTGGCGAGCGGTGGGCGCGTGGTGAGCGAGTGGTGGGCGGTGGTCGCGTGGTGAACGAGTGGTGAGTGGTGAGCGGTTGGTGGGTGGTGAGCGAGTGGTGAGTGAGTGGTGAGCGTGGTGAGCAGTGGGCACGTGGTGAGCGAGTGGTGAGCGAGTGGGGAGTGAGTGGTGAGCGGTGGGCGCGTGGTGAGCGAGTGGTGAGCGAGTGGTGAGTGTGTGGCGAGCGGTGGGCGCGTGGTGAGCGAGCGGTGAGTGAGTGGTGAGCGGTTGGTGGGTGAGTGTTGAGTGATGAGTGAGTGGTGAGCGAGTGGTCAGTGTGTGGTGAGTGGTGGGTGCGTGGTGAGAGAGTGGTGAGCGAGTGGTGAGCGGTTGGTGGGTGGTGAGCGAGTGGTGAGTGGTGAGCGAGTGGTGAGTGGTGAGCGAGTGGTGAGTGGTGAGCGAGTGGTGAGTGGTGAGCGAGTGGTAAGTGATTGGTGAGTGAGTGGTGAGCGAGTGGTGAGCGAGTGGTGAGCGAGTGGTGAGCGAGTGGTGAGCGGTTGGTGGGTGGTGAGCGAGTGGTGAGCGAGTGGTGAGCGAGTGGTGAGTGTGTGGTGAGCGGTTGGTGGGTGGTGAGAGAGTTGTGAGCGAGTGGTGAGTGAGCGGTTGGTGGGTGGTGAGTGGGTGGTGAGTGAGTGGTGAGCGAGTGGTGAGCGAGTGGTGAGCGAGTGGTGAGCGAGCTACCGCAGGATCTCGCTGCTGTTGAGCTGGATGCAGGACTGGGGTAGGATCACAACTTGGTCGTCCCTCCTCAGGACCAGTTCCGAGTCAGCCCAGCGTGCACTACAACAAAGACAAAGATCCCACGGGTAGCCTCACACAGACTGTAGGGGCAAGTGCTGTTAGTAAGCACCTACGAAGGCCGGCACTGTGGCACACGAGGGGGTGAGTGGCCAGCACCACGCCCGGCCGCCTTTGTCTCCCCAGTGCTGATATTTACGACACACTGCACCAGGTACTCATTTGAGGGACAGGGCTCAGCCTAGCGGAGGCTCAGGACTGGTTCAGATCATTGCTGTCACTGGCATTGTTGGCCGTGAGTGGGAATCAAACTCGGGTCTATTCTGGGTTCGTAGCGCAGGGCAGCGCTAACATGCTGGATAAAGGAATCCGCAAGCCATTGAGACTCACAGACTCACACAGACTCAAAAACTCACAGACTCTCACAGAGACTTGCAGGTTCACAAATATATCCATAGACTCACAAAGACCTAGAGCCTCACACAGAAACCCATAGACTCACACAGATACCGATAGACTAACACAGAGACCCAGAGACTCACACAGAGACACACACAGTAAGTAAAGGTCGGTGGGTGGATGAGTGGATGGGTGAGTGGGTGGGTGGGTGAGTGGGTGGGTGAGTGGGTGAGTGGGTGGGTGAGTGGGTGGGTGAGTGGGTGGGTGGGTGGGTGGGTGAGTGGGTGGGTGGGTGGGTGGGTGGGTGGGTGGGTGAGTGGGTGGGTGGGTGGGTGAGTGGGTGGGTGAGTGGGTGGGTGGGTGAGTGGGTGGGTGGGTGGGTGGGTGGGTGGGTGGGTGAGTGGGTGGGTGGGTGGGTGGGTGGGTGAGTGAGTGGGTGGGTGAATGGGTGGGCGAGTGAGTGGGTGGGTGAATGAGTGGGTGGGTGAGTGAGGGGTGAGTGGGTGAATGAGTGGGTGAGTGAGTGGGTGGGTGGGCGAGTTGTCATGAAGGGAGCTGTGAGCTTGCTGTTGACCTCTCCCCGTGACCCCTCACCGGCTGTGTGGGCGCTGCGTCTCTGTGGGGGGGGTCGAGGGGGGTGGCTGTGCCCGCTCCTCGTACCCCAGCAGCCTCCGCCCGGGCAGGGGGGGCAGCAGGCGGGGGTGGGGGGCAGGGGAGTGGGGGGCCTCCCCCAGCGGGCCCAGCCTGCAACAGCAGCAACAACTACATCAACAACGTCGTCATCGTCATCGTCGTCAACATCGTCGTCATCATCGTCAAAATCGTCGTCATCATCAACATCGTCGATATCGTCAAAATGAACATCGCCAACATCCACATCATCATCGTCAACATCGTCATCATCGCCATGGAAATCTTCATCGTCAACATCGTCACCACTGTAAACATCGTCATCATCGACATCGTCAACATCGTCGTCGTCATCGTCACTATCGTCAACATCGACATCATCATTGTAAACATCGTTAACATGAACATTTTCAATATCGACATCGTCATCATCGTCGACGTCAACATGAACATCGTCAACATCGACATCATCATTGTCAACATCGTTAACCATGACCACCATCACCAAAGACAAAGATCCCCTATATAGCCTTAACAGACTGTTGGGGCAAGTGCTGTGAGCGAGCACCTATGAAGGCCGGCACTGGCACGCAAGGGGGTGGGTGGCCAGCACCACGCCCGGCCACCTTCGTCTCCCCAGCGGCAGTGTTTACACACCGCACCAGGTACTCATTTGAGGCTGAATCTACCTAGGGGAGGAACAACAACGGTTCAGTTAATCGCCACTGGTGTTGGCTGTGAGCGGAAATCGAACCCGGGTCGCCAGGTTCGTAGCGCAGTGCATTCACCACTAAGTGGCGGTGATGTCACGACGCTTGTGCCAGGCTATGTGGACGTTGAGGCCACGTGAAGTGTCGAACGCATGCTGGCAGGAGGTCACGAGGCAGACCCAGATGCCACGGGTCGACTGACTGAGATGACTGACTGATGCACCACCTGTGCCCTCTACTGTGCCAACTTGCTGTGCTTTACCCACCCGGCGCTCCGCTCGTTGTTGTGAGCGTCGCTACTCCCCCTCCGTTGTTATTGGAGGGCGACTGCCTCCAACTGCCCAGTAGTGTCCTTCACGAGCCTCCTCCACAGAGGCCGATCTTGACACTGCTGGTAGCAGTCATTGGCGAAAATGTTCCATTAAGGGGGTCACGTTTCGCAAGCGTAGACAAGGGAGGGAATGACTGTGGCCGAGAAGACCTGAAGCTTCGTGCGGAGCAACAGACCAGGTCTCTTCCACACAGCGTTACGCAACCGATGAAAAGATAATGCTGCTCGACTAATTCGGAGTGAGACTTCTGCTGTTCTACCGGAGCCGGTCATGAGCACACTGCCCAGGTATGGGAAACTCTCCACTCTCTCCACAACTGCCCTCTCACCAATTGGGAGTTCTGGGGGTGGAGTGTCCTATGGTACAAAATACGCAGGCAGGTGCTTAGTTTTGGTGGGGCTGATGGTAAGGCCCCACCTCTTAGTGGCAAGCTCCAGCTTCAGCAGTGAGCAGCAATTACGAGATCATCGGCATACATAACATGGTTGAGCAATAGGGAGCCATCTCTTGACTGCACCCGGGCATCCATTGTATCTGTACCAGATGGAAATTCCTCCGGTACAGCTATTGAAGGCGTCACGAACTACGTGGTCAAAATAGATGTTAAATAATGTGGGAGCCAGAGGACATCCCTGTCGCAACCCCAAAGTGAACAGGGAATGGCTCCGACTCCCAGCCACGTAGTTTTACCACGGCCCGCTCACCATCATGAAGGTCCCTAATGATTGTGAGCAGCGGGTCAGAGACTCCGAAAGCATGAAGAACCCAGAGCCCAGGCCTACTGATGGCATCATATGCCTTGACCAGCTCAATAAAGCAGAGATGTAGGTCTTGTTGGAATTCCCTACACCTCTGCTGTAGCAGACGGACAGAAAATATGGCATCTGTGCAGGACCGCCCTTTCCTGAAACCGCATTTGGGCTGCACAAGCCTCTCTTCAGCGTGCATAACAAAGGCGATGTTGAATAATCCTTGCCAGGACCTTTCCCAGCACACTGAAGAGTGAGATGCCCCTCTAGTTGTTACAGTCTGTGCGGTCCCCTTCTTAAATAGGGGGACCATCAGGGCATCCTTACAATTCTGCGGAACCCATCCAGTAGTCCAGACTGTTGTTATAACGTAATGTAGGTAGTCTGTACACAAACTTCACCCTCCCTCAGCATTTCGCTTGGAATATCATCTCTGCCTGGTGCCTTTCCTGGTCTCAGACTCCTCAACAGATGGCACCTCAGCAAGCCACTCACAGTGGGTGACTTCTTCTTCCAATATTTGAGGCACCGCAGCCTCGGCAGGGTCATCCCCACTTTGTCCCACGTTGTTTTCCAGGCTGAGGGATTTCCCCTCCCCCAGGACCTCACAGAAATTCTCAGCAAATCTGCAAACCTGTTCGTGGGGGTCAGAGATTGGATCACCGTTCTTTCCCTTAATGATGGCAATCGGTGTGGCGCTGCAGGTTACTTTTTTGATGGAATAAAAGAGCTATTTGTGATCACGGGCCATTGAGGCAGACTCCATCTCCTTAGCAACCCGCGACCACCACCCATCCTAGCAGCGCCTCACGGCTCTCCAAACCTCCGAGCGAAGGCTGCGGTAAGCCTCCTCATTCTTCGACTTGGGATGCTGTAGCCGATGAGAGTGGGCCTTTTGCTTTTTCTCAGCCAGCCTGAACACCTCCTCTGTCAGCCAGGGTCTCCGAGGTCTGCATGAGCCACAGTCCTAAACCTAGCCCATTTCCCCTCGACATCAGGAGTGGGGGACGATGCCAACCATAGCCGCAAGCGATGATTAAATTCTTGCTTGCAACTTTCATCAGCTAGCCGAGACCTTGCCACTAAGGGTTTGAATGAGGTCCTGGGTGTACACCCACCACCGGAGTGGAAGAATGGCAGGCACATCTTATGGATGACACGTCGATGGTCAGTGGGCAGATCAGCTCCACGGTAGGTTCTGGTGTCAAGGACATGGGCCCCCATCCGCTGGTCCGTCACTATGTAGTCCAGCAGATGTTCTTGCTTGGACCCGGCATGCATCCATGATGTTTGTGTGGATGCGCCGATGCCGGAACAGCGTGTTGGTAATTACAAGCCCATGAGCTGCACAAAAATCTAGCAGCCTCCTACCGTTGTTATTGAGCTGATCTGGCCCATGCCTTCCAATCACTCCAGACCAGGTGCCAGCATCATGACCAACTCGGGGGCATTGAAGTCACCCAACAGGATGACTCTATTCCGAGGGGCCACTTTAGCCAGCACCTGTGACAGGAGGTCATAGAAGGCATCTGACTCATCGGCCTTGCCTGCATCCCTCCACGGATGTTCGTCTTCGGTGGGGGCATAAGTAACCACGACCACCACTCCTCGCCTCTGGTTGATGGGAAGGCGAGTCCAAAGTAGCCTGGGGCTTACAGCTTCCCACACCTCACCGCCACGTTCCCATCTCACCTTCATTCTTTTGTTCAGAAGAAGAGCCACACCCTGTTGTTTGGCAGTCTCCTGCCCCGAGTAGAGGACTGTCCACCCCTCATGGTGGCAGGAGCCAGAGCCGGTCCACCGGACCTCCTGAATACCACAGAGATCCAGGCGGTTCCGGTCCAGTTCCCGACAGAGGAGTGGCAGCCTTTCCTCCGCAGTGAGTATTCCAACTTTCCACGTAGCCACACGTAGTGGTTTTTGTTGTTTCTGGAGGAGCCCCGAGGGTGAGGATTCAGTCTCCTGGGTGCGCCAAATGGGGTTTGGCCAAGAGACGTCATAGACACCTGTCCCCCCAGGGCCTCCGGCACAAACTTATTAATTACAATTTTCAGTCGTGTTTTAGTGGTAATTAATTGAAGTTGGAGGGGTTACCAGCCCCCCGCATGCATCCAAAGCCCCATTTGGCCGCTGTGGTGGTTACAAACGCCATGAGGAGAAAGTGCAAATTAAATGAGCTCTCCCCCCATGGCACTGCCCACAACAGGGTATGGCACCACGAGGAGCTAGGGGGTTGTTTTTGCCGGTCTCATCACCACCACCATTACTACCACCATTACTACCCCTATCACCATCACCACCATCACCCACCAGCATCACCACCACCACCACCACCACAACCACCATCACCAACCACCACCACTCACCCGAGGGGGCCGTATCCCAGGACGATGAACGCCAGCAGCGCCATGGCACAGACAGCCTTCGTGGTGCGGGCAGCACCACCCCCTCCACCCTGCCACAGCCACACACACACCAGACAAAGATCCCCCGTGTAGCCTCACACACTCGTGGGGCAAGTGTGTATGGGTGTACCGATACCCACACACACACACCAGACAAAGATCCCCCGTGTAGCCTCACACACTCGTGGGGCAAG